GAAGGCATATGAGGTGGGCATTTACTTTTCCCCTTTATTTTCATATGAATCACGTTCTTCTATTTTTCTACTCTTTATCTGGCTGTTTTCTTTTCCATTTATTAAAATTTGACCATACTCGATGCTCTCTGTCTTTCTGTTTCTAAATTATGTTGATTGTTTGTATTGCCGCTTATATTATACTGAACAAGTTTTGTATTTTGCTGAAATGTTTGGTATGTGTCTGGTTTATCATATAAATATATGCACGTTCATTTCCTTGGGATTACGACTATTTACATTCTTCCAGCAGTTGTCTGGATGCTAGTTGAGAAAATTACGTGCATTTGTTCCTCTGAGAGGACAATTAAATTAAGATTTTCTTTTGCTTGTGGTACTACTTTCCCGTTTCTGATCATCAAAGAAAATTCAACTACGAATCTTTTCTTTTCTTGGTTAATACTTGTTCAAAATGAGGTTTACAGGAAGAGATTTTCCAGAAAGTTTTTTATTAGATTACCTGGAACCCGTAGGTTAAATATTTTAGTTGGGAAGCAATATTGTTAACTGTACTCTCTCTTCTATCTATACAGTTCATATCCTTTACATTTGTGTTGCTTTATCTTGTTTGTTACAGGCTGCAACCAGCTCAGCCGAATCTGAATTACCCCCTACACATCCTATCCGTTTGGGTTTGGCATTAAATTTCTCAGTCTTCTATTATGAAATCCTGAATTCACCCGAAAGGTATGATTTATGTAATATTGTCAGTAAATCTAGCAGTGTTGTCCTCTTCGGAGCTTTGTTGACATTGATGGTTACAATGTTCTTTTTGTTGTTTAGGGCCTGCCACCTTGCAAAGCAAGCTTTTGATGAAGCCATATCCGAACTTGACACCCTTAACGAGGAGTCATACAAAGATAGCACCTTGATCATGCAGCTTCTTAGGGACAACCTTACATTATGGACTTCTGACATCCCAGAGGATGGAGGTAATGGTGAAAATCTTTAACTGGACTTAGCCTATATGCATTTTTGGACTCTTTTTTTTGGGGGGTGTCATTTAAGCTAACTATTCTTCTTGCGAGAGTTCTCTGTTGGGGTAAAAAAGAACTGAGGATATCATTAGCATTCAGATGATGATGGGAATGAGTTGCTAAAGACAGCTGTTGTACATGGACCAGCTTAAGATTCGGACAAATTGGGTTTAGTATATTTGCTTGAAATTTGAAATCCAGGATGCCCTTCATTTAGAATGAATTTCTCCTTCTCCATACTCTGTCTAGGGATGATGGCAAATAGCAATGACTTGGTCATTTGTTTTTCAGTGTTTTAACGTGCATTACTCATTGCTACAGATGATGCCCAAAAGACCAATGGAACAGCCAAGATTTCTGGTGGTGACGATGCCGAGGTGAGTTGCTCAATCATTGGTTGCAGTTAGTCAGTCATGTTTGAATTAATTATGCCTAACCATTCTTCATTTGCTGCAGTGAAGCGGATAGCATCATAAGTGGCAGAATCATGACTCTGGAGATGATGGATGTGACTCGATAATTGCTCTTGGTGTTTAGCATAAGGAGGGTTCCTTTTATTATCTTCCCTTTGTTCTTCTCCTTTTCCCCCCCTCCCCCTTTTCTGATGCCCATTATGGTGTGGTTTTATTTTTGAGTATGATGTCTGGACACTTGTTTGGTCTATAATCTTGCATTCGCACAAGCTTTCCCTTCTCAGTGGATGGTCTCGATAGGTTGTAGGGGGATCGACTTGAATGTTTATCCATCCTGTTTAGATGAAAAATGGCATTGCCCAAATGGAGGCTTTCTGCTGAAGCATTATATATATGTTCTGTGTCAAATCTTATAAATATATCTTTCCTACCTTCCTCATGCTCTTAATCACAGCTTCTCTCTCTCTCTCTCTCTCTCTCTCTCTTCTGACGGAATAGAATGCGAGTACAGGACACTACGACTACTTTGCGGATCGAGGAATGCTGAAAGGTGATCCTATTCTTCATCTTACTTCAGTGTATTAATTACTTTTAATTAAAAAATTGTTTTGAATAATTGTAGAGATGATTTTCCATAGGTTCTAAGCATTTCCCTCTTTTTGTAATGAAATTCAAGTTTTTGAAGTTTTGGAGTGGAAACTGGCATTATAAATGCATGGTGTGTCATTATGTGAACATTCTGTACTGTACAGCATGTGGAGGTCACTATTTGATTGATGTGACTATGTTTCTAAGGTGCCTCCCACCTTCTTGTTGTTGCATTGGCCCATTTACATTGGAATAAACTGTGGAATTATTCCTTTATGCTTTCCATTTCACTTCATGTCATTAGATTTTGGTTCCAAGTAACACCACCACATCCTATTTGACGAACCCTTTTACCTCATTTTTTTTTTCATTTTTTGTGAATTTATATTACAAATTTAGTTTTTTAAGTATGAGGTTTGCATCTATTTAAATTTAGTAATGAGTTTTTTATAATTATTTTCAATTTACAAGTTGAGTTTCATTGAATATAAAGATAATTTTGAATTTGTTAGAGACTTGATTTTAAATATATGTATTTTACTAGTTATCATCTTAAACTTAATTTGGTGGAAGTGTTTGTATTATGAAATTTAGTTTTAGAATTAGATTTCAATTAATTAATTTTTTTTTAATTTTTAGGGTTTTTTAAAAATATTTTTTTATCTTCTAAAGTTTGAACTTTATTTCTTACTTTCGTCAAAATGAAAATTAAATGAAGTTTTGAATATTTGTTTTTGTTTTTAGAATTTGATTTAAATTTAAATTAATTAATTAAAAGTTAAGATTTAAAGGTGAAAGTGTAATATCTTGACTCGAAGACATGTCTAGTTGGTAGTTGGCAAATTGAAAGGAAACCAAACTCGAACCAGCATCTTGCAGTTGGCTTACATTAAGCATTGTACGCACCCGAGACAACCCGAGATTATGGTTGAAACCCGCCATTTTCGTCCTTTCTCGTTGTTCAATCTCCACGAAGAACAGAGCAAAGCGGAAACAAATCAGACTTCGAACTGTCAAATTCAATCTGTTTCGAATCCCTTACTCTATTCGTCGAATTCTGATTTGATTCTCAAGCTTTATAACAGCGTTACGCTTCTCATTTCAATGCTTGCTTATTCACTAATCTATTTCGTGCTCTGATAGACTCGGTTTCTTTCAGTCTGAATTAGTAGAGTTCTGATCTGTAATTTCTCGTTTTAGTTGTATGAGAACGCAGCTACACTGTTGTATTATGTGCGATGGCGACAAAGGACGTGTTGAATGCTATATTTTATGGCAAAATATTGACAAGTTTGGGACAAGAAGAGGGAAGAGGAGGAGAAATTGGGCATGACCTAGAAAGAATCTGCAGCTGCAGTTGCAGTTGTTACGGATTATGGCCTTTAATTTTTAAGAAATTTACCGTAACATTCTTATATTGCAGGAAAAAACAAAGTGGCACAGGGGGATCAGCTAGGCTCAACTTGGCCAGGGTATTGTTTTCTTGAGGATCAAAAAGGTTAGATGTTTTTATGTTAATATTTGATGAAGGTAGTACTCTGCTGCAGTGGATAATGGATCCCTTTCGAATTTAAATTTTTCTGGGTATTAAGTGAGGAGGTTTGGCAGATAAGGACATGCAAATCCACGAAACACAGCCAAAGGATGAATGCATGTGATGGGTTCTTTTCTGATGCTTCGTGTGGGGTTTAGCATACTCCTTTGTCCTCCTTTTCAATCATACCATATGATTAAACTCCCCCCACATTGTAGGGTCATATTCTCCTGATTGCTTTTCAGAAAACCACATGTATATGCAATAAATGTTATTAGTTTTCTTCTTTTCTTTTCTTTTTAGGTTATCTATGATGTGCTGAACAGATCATGCTCAGTTTGACCTGTTATAGCTAATGTTGTTTTCCTTCTTTTCCCTGTAATTGCATGTCTGACAGCTTTCTTCAGTCTTCTGCTATCGTAACTCATTTTTATATGGAAGAATTTAGGAAGTAATACAGGTTTTTCTGAGTCCCTATTGGTCGTTGGAGTGAACAATCTTCACTGTGTAGACTAGTGGGATTGACGTTAGTTATTTGTGTAACGGCTCAAGCTCACCACTATAAGATATTGTCCTCTTTAGGCTTTTTTTTTTTTTCGAGGTTTCCCTCAAGGTTTTTAAAACGCGTCTAACTAGGGAGATGTTTCCACATCTTTATAAAGAATACTTCGTTCCTCTCTCTAACCGATGTGGGATCTCACAATCCACCCCCTTCGGGCCCAGCGTCCTCGCTAGCACACCGCCCTGTGTCCACCCCCCTTCGGAGCTCAGTGTCTTTGCTGGCACACCGCCCAGTGTTTAGCTCAAATACCATTTGTAATTGCTCAAGTCTACTGCTAGCAAATATTGTCTGCTTTGGCCCGTTACGTATCACCGTCAGCCTTATGGTTTTAAAATACGTATGCTAGGGAGAGGTTCATATATGCTAGCGGTGGGCTTCGACCATTACAAATGGTACCAGAGCTAGTCGCTGGGTGGTATGCCAACAAGGACGTTGGGCTCCAAAGGGGTGGATTGCGAGATCTCACATTGGTTGGAGGGGGGAATGAAACATTCCTTATAAGGGTGTGACAACCTCTCCCTAGTAGACGCGTTTTAAAAACTACGAGGCTGATGGCGATACGTAACGAGCTAAAGCAGACAATACCTGTTGGCAATGGACTTGAACTCTTACAATTTGCTTTGGCTTCCTTACTTTTATGGCCTTTGTCTTTATTTAGTAATTATTCTTCTCTCGTTACATATCATCCTATTATTGGTCTAGTACCATGTGCAACGTTGGCCTGTTCATTTTGTCCCCATTTTGGTTTCGTAACTGCATGATATATGTTTTTGTATGCAGGTTGAAAGGACTGGTTTCCTGTGATTCTTGGTAGTGACCAGGTTGTTAAAGGGAAACCTGCTTTATATCTGTAAGGCTTTTTTTGTTTTGTTTTTGCATGAACCATCTTGATGAAGATAAAGATTCTGTCTCATTCCATCTTTTCATGACATAAACTCGGTGCATACTAAAACCTTACTTCTGATCATGTGGAAATGGAAGTGTAAGGAACTTTATGTTCAATATTGCATTCTGACATCAAAGCCATACAAATTTAATGATATCAATGTTAGGAACAAGATTGTCTCATGGATTATTGAAATCTTTAAACCCAAACGCTGAAGGAAATGGAAACGACTAAATCCTTGGATGATGGATTAAGCCAAATCCATGAAAAATGAGGGAAATGTCTCAAAATGAGAGAGAATAGAATAGCTTCCTACCAAGGCCTTATGTAGCTTACAAAATGAAGAAAATATAACCAGCAAACTAACAAAGATTCATTCCAACAGGGTTGATGTCAAAGCAGCTAAGGCTGCTAAGACGAAGGTTGTAGCAGTCCTGTCCCATGGGGAAATTGAGTGTTCTTCCCCAGCAGATGAAGTACTTCATTCCTTGCTAGTGTCTGTTTATTTTTCTTGTATTTCATTTTATTAGTTTTCTAATCACTGTCAAATTTTTTACACGATCATCCCAGAGGTAGATAGAACCTTACCGGTTGATCCAATATATCTAAGCTCTCGACATGTTAGTGGCTGTAATTTGGTCCACCTTGAAATAGAATGGTAGCCATAATTCAAGTCCAGATATCATTTTCTGACTGAGTTTATACTGCTTTTCAAAGCTACTGGGCTTTCTAAAAAAAAATTGCTTGGTTTAACTATGGGATCTGAAAAGTTCATGTGTTGGTTTGGCTTTTCACAATGTTGTGGTTCATGATGAGTTTAATGCATGGTTTCAGAGGATGCATCATTGCCTGACTAAGCTTTTGGAACGTTCTTCGATTGGGCTGGAATTGGTACGGCTTAGATCATCAAGGTTGTGGTGAACATAGGATGGAATTGCAGTTCCTGCACAAAAAAGAGAAGGATTTAGGTACCTTTGCAGTGTTTTATGTATTTGAAATTTATATTATTTCAAGTTTGAGTTGATTTGAGGGTTGGGTTTGTGAGATCCCACGTCGGTTGGAGAGAGGAACGAAACATGTCTTATAAGGGTGTGAAAACATCTCTCTTGTAGACGCGTTTTAAAACCGTAAGGTTGATGGCGATACGTATCGGGTCAAAGTGGACAATGTCTATTAGCGGTAGGCTTTGGCTATTACAAATAGTATCCGAGCCAGTCACCGGACAGTGCGTGGCATTAGTCGGAGTAAGCCTAGACCCTCTCCATAGTAGACGCATTTTAAAACCATGAGGTTGACGGCGATACGTAACGTGACAATATCTCCTTAGTGGTGGGCTTGGACTGTTACAAATGGTATTAGAGTCAGACACCAGGCGTTGTGCTAGTGGGGACACTGGGCCCCAAGGGATGGATGGTGAGATCTTACATTTGGAGGGAGAAACAAAACATTCTATAAGAGTGGAAAACTCTCCGTAACATACAGGTCTTAAAATCGTAAGGCTGATGACGATACGTAATAAGTCAAAGTGGACAATATCGAGCTTGTCACATCTCATTCATAATTAAACAGTATTGAAAAGTTTTTTCTCGCTTTTGGCAGAAACTATGGTCAGTGGACGAATGTGATAGCAAAATATTTGAGCAGCAGATGCAACTGATGCTTAATGGCTACATCTGCAGACTGAATAGCAAGGTAAAGAATAGAACAAAGCCCTAAACAATGAGTGACACAACGTGTTATTTGATCGGCATCGGCATCAACCCACCAGTAGTATATAAACACTTCTTTGTTTGCAATGTTTTATATTGTGCTTTTGCCTTCATGGTGAGTTCTAAGTTTAGATGTATGTTATCACAACAACTCTGGATTCGGGGGTGAATGAACATGAACACTCTAGTCAAGTCCAGTGGTGGCTAGCCAACTGTGCAGCGTTTTCCGCGAAACAGATTAAAACGACGTCGTCAGCCCTCCCAGCACTCTGCTTTATAATTTTTTGAAATATTTATATATTATATATTTTTTTGCATGAAAATTATTATGATTATTTTATCAAGTGAAGTCATAGTAGGAAAAGGACAATGATGGACATGAAGGGAGGCAAGTGAAGTCGGTGAGTGACAGACAACCAATTCCAGCAGTTTCCATGAACAGAAGAAGATCAAAACGACATCATGGTGCTGGGAGAGCAGCTTACATTTCAATAGAGGACAAAGCAGTACCATCCCCTTCCCTTTCACCAAAACTTCCAACATTTTGCAGTGGCAGCCCTCCTTTCAATTACCTGTCATTTCACCACGAAAACATGCCCTACGTGCAAAGCGCATGGCCCATGGCCCATGGCCCAGCCCATTAGGGGCCCATAATTCTGATTCCATTTTCTCTTAACCTTAAATATTTAACTTCCTCCCTCCCCCTTCTCTGCTTCGAGTTGAGCTACTTCCTCTCCATCAATTCATTCGTTTAGGGTGAGAGCAAAGCCAGAGTTTAACTCTCGTTGCCTGACCAATTAGCTCGGACACTAGACTGCTCATGCCCACCCCCTATAACCATTCCTGTCCCCCTGTTTGCCGGGAATCCACTCTCAAGTCGTCGCTCTACTGCATCTTGTCAAGTCGTCGCTCTACTGCATCTAGCCTGTCTTCAAGATTTTCCTCCATGGGGGCTTGTGCAATAAACCCCCTTCGAGGGAATCGTCCATCGTCGTAAAGTAGTCTCTCTGGTTCATGGTTAAGTTTGATTCTAAACAATTTGAACCGTAAGCTAGTGATGCTTTCAGACTCTTCCCATCTCATCTTGAACTTTGGATGGAACTTGAGACCTTGAATGAGCTATGGATGGAACTTAAGATCTTGAATGAGTGTGTAGCTTTACACTGTTCGAATCACCGCCGCCACACTGTTCCACCCAACTTTGGTCAAACATTATTATGGATTTTTACTTCAAGTCACATTTGAAACGTTTACGAACAAACAAGATTAAGTTTAAAAGAATATGGGTTCAAGCAAAAGCACCAAAAAAAACAGAGACAGGACAAATGATGGTGGTGAATATCCAAAACCCACCCAGCTATGTTTGCACCAAAATTAGTCATTTTTGTAATACCCACTCCTAGACTACCCTGTGTGGAGGCATCACTTTTGGTAAAGTTGTGAAAGGAGAAAAGCAAAAATAATGCATTGTGGTGAAAAAGCTGAGGCATTGGTCAACAAGTACACCATGACATTACCAGTAGAGCTTTGTACAAATTACAGAGATATTTCAGTGCAAACACGACAAGTTGTTTAACCAAGAAGATCAAAAAACAAAGTGCAGATCTCCTTGGTGGTTCTGCTCTCATCTACCAGAAACTCGAGTTTGGGTTTAGGGTTTAGGGTTTTGAAGCACAGCAATGAAATGAACCGTCGCAATTCAAAGCTACAGCAGTTTTCAGTGTGTTCAAAATGAAAGGGAAGTGTCTGCATTGGGCACGCTACATCTTTACAAGGAATGCTTTATTCCATTCTCCTCTCCAACTAATGTAAAATCTCACAATCCTCCTCCTTGAGAGCCAACGTTCTCACTGGCATATTGTCTTCTTTGAGGTTTCCCTCTCGGACTTCTCTTCAAGACTTTTAAAACGTGTCTACTAAGGAGAGTTTTCCACACCCTTATAAGCAATGCTTCATTACCCTCTCCAAACAATGTGGGATCTCACAATCCACCCCCTTTGTGGGTCAGCATCCTCGTTGGCACACGCCCAATGCCTGGTTCTGATTCCATGTGTAACAATTCAAGCTCACCACTAACAGATATTATCTTTTTTGGGTTTTTCCTTTCGGACTTCCCCTCAAAAAATTTTAAAACGTGTATGCTAAGGATAGTTTTCCACATAGTTATAAGAAATGCTTCGTTCTCCTCTCCAACCAATACCGGATCTCACACAACCATTAGAAAAGCAATCATCACGCGAAAGACAAGACAAGGTAAAAGAATCATGTCCAAGATAAAACCAGGAGACAAAATAATTAGATTTTGTACAGACCGACTCTTTTGGACAAAATTTTGAATTGAGATGTGCAAATGAGAGCATGAAAACAAATGGGATTCAAATAAGGAAGAATATAAGTTGAATATTACAAATGAAAGAAATAAATTTCCGCAAAGGTGGAAGAAGTAAGAAACACTTACGGTCTCTGAGGGTTCCTCTGCCTAGAATTCTAGGAAACAATTATGTAGTTGATTATGTTACAAGTAAAATTACTAACTTTTTATGTATGAAAAGAGTTACCAGAGCTTTCAACCATGACATGATGCTGGGACTGTTTGTATGCAACTTCTCACTGAGTCCTCCAGAAAATGGTGGCTCGGACGGATCATTTCGATCAGCTTCTCTCCGTTCTTGTAAATCTTGAACGCTGGAACTGTTCTTATGCCTTCAGCCTTCGCCACGGCCACGCTCTCCTCCACGTCCACCTTCCACAAAAACATCACATTTCGATCAGCTGAGATCCTAAATCGTCGAATGAGGTAAAGAAGATGATTGATCACGTTGACAAATACCTTTATGAACTTAACAGACGGGTAGCGGATGCATAGCATATTCATGAATGCGGATGTTTCGTCGCATATGTCGTTGGAAACTTTGAAATGAACCACTGAAACGCCTGAAAGTTCAAGCTTTTCGTTCAGAATGGATCGAGTAATTGATGAGGCTTAACTCGAATAGCTCGAAATGGACATGAACTTACCAGTTGATGATATTGCAGCTTTCAGTTTATGGAGAGTTGAAACTTCCTCTACCTCGCCACTTACTGTTCTATGATCGACTAACTCTCCACGAGATCGCTTCAATGCAACCTGTGCTCGGTGTAGAGATTCAGCAACGTCATTGTCTCCAGGAAGTTCTCTCCTCAAGAACTCAAGATCTTTCACTGCGTCTTCCCATCTTTCAAGCTAAATGTTCGACAAGACAACACGAAAACATAAGCGTACGAAACAGTTTCCCATAACGAGAAAAGAACAGAAACCGAGCACGCTTTTCACCTTTGCATTTGAAGCAGCTCTACGAAGAAGGGCTTTCGTGTAGTTTGGTTGGATCTTGAGGGCTTGATTGCAGTCCTCAACAGATTGCTCCCAAAGTCCAATCTTCGCCCAACAAACCGCTCGATTGCAATAAAGAACATGATTCGAGCTATCGTACCTGAGACCCTCTCCATATGCTGTACAGGCTTCTGTATATCTTCCAGAGTTAAAAAGATCGAAACCCCGAGATCGAGCTCTTGCCACCATTTTCACATTGCTCAACAACTTCGCAACTTCAAGATTATTGAAGTCAATCTTGGCAGCTCTCTCAGCTGCCAGAACTGCATTATCAAACCTGCAAGAACACCAATGAGCTCTCATTCACCTAAAGAGTAAAACCATTAAACCGAACCAAACTTATTTTCCCGAAAATATATTACCTTCCCAATGCCATCTCGACCATGGCACGAACATAGAACACGTACGCTTCAGCAAGCATACCGAAGAACTTGGTTTGTGAGCACGAAGCCAGAGTTTCCAACTTGGGAACATTTGATATGCAGGAGTCTGCATCTTCTAGCTGATGGAGCTTCAAAAGGGCTTCGGCTTTACATGCAACAAGCTTTATATTGCATTCAAATACATTTTCAGTATGTCTTAGTACATATATTACTTATAAACTAACATATCTATGACTTGTACCTGTGGAGAGAAATCTGCTCCAGCTGCTGTTGCTGCTTCCGCTTCCTTTAAAGCACTCTTCCAGTCACCGGCTTTTCGAGCATTGGCACACTGATTCAAGATCTTCTCGAGCGACTTCAATCTCTGCAACTCGGACTGATCTGGTTGTCCTGAGCATAGAAGATGACTCCGGGATTTTTCTACCTGCCCGAAACTGGAAAAAGAAAATGTCGGTCGAATAACTCCGTGCATTCAGCTGAAACGTCTCGGAGGGCTAAAGGAAACTAAGGAGGAGGACTTCAAGCATAGAAATACTACAGCTAGTGAAACAAAAGACTTCTAAGGAACCCATTTGAAGAACTAGAATTCACTGATCTAAAGAGACATGGCATCAAAGCAAGTGCTAAACGCATTCCCGTTTATCGATTATCATTAAGGTTATCTTGTCGAGTCCCTCAGTCTAGCACGCTTGACTAATAGTTTCCAAAGGGGTTTGAACCATCTATTTCTACTAGAACCTTTCCCGAGTTTCTCTCCTAGAGAATGGGGAAAGCTTATCCCTCACTCGCATTCACCTAATCAAGCAAAAACGTCACTCGAATCATCCTACAACTAGTCCCGCCTATAGTTATAGGGTCGAAGACACAGCCGGATCTTTACACTTCGCGACACACGGAGAGTAGCAATCGAGTTATAAGCTCAACAAACGAAGCATGGATTTATATGTGTTCCTAAGAATTGAAGCAAACAGCACTGATACCAATGAAAGAAAGCATGTGGATCTCAAATAGTCTTCCAAGAATAAGGAAAAGAAGAAGCATCATAAACACTTACCGGAGATAAAGAGCAGCAAGCCTCTGGTGCGCCCTCCCATAACCGAGATCAAGCCTCACAGCCTCCTCACATTCCCTCACCGCTTCCCCCAGCCGACCAAGCGCCGTCAACGCCGCCGCTCGGTTGCTCCGGTAAGCTGCATTCTCCGGGAACAACGAAATTGCACGATCATACAACGACAAAGCTTCAACAAAATTCCCTCTTCTATACATCTCATTCGCAGCTCTTTTAACCTCCTCTGGATCGGAGCTCGCCATTACCCTTTTAGTCATCGAATTTTCACTACCAAATTGCAAATTCCCAGACCCAAAATTACCTTCACCAAGATTTCCCAGACTACCCAATTTGCCTCCACCGCCACCACCACCGCTACCGCTACCGCCGCGAATAATACTACCATGGCCGTAATTTCCCGTGCCAGAGCCAAGCGTATCGCACCGATTAGGGGTTCTAACAGCAATGTTCGCCTTCAAAACCTTGCC